CCTGCTGAATTATAGTAATGGCTGCCTCATAGTCTGCTTTTAAGAGATGATCACTTTCCGTTCGTTACAGATACCTGTATTTTTATAAGCACACAGTGGACCTACTGATAGAGCGTGGAATTGTTTGCACTGAGGAGGTGCCTCTTCCTGAGGTATCCATGGCTATTTCCCACCTCTGGCAAGAGCTTTCTGAAGAAAAGAGAGACAGCATCTTGCAGTACTGTAGCCAGAGAGATTTCCTCATGGATCCTAAGGCTGCTTGCCAGGAGCCTGCATGCACTGAAGGTAGTGTGGGGGACAGTCGAGGTAACAGTGAGGAAGCCAGTGATTCCTCAGTCTCCACACCAGAGGAAGTAAGTGCTCAGTAACATACGTCTGCCTCTGAAACCCCAAGCTTTCAGGTGCTAATTAGCTCTGCAGCTTTTAATTGTTAACATACAGTAGTTGCAATTAAGCCTTCCCAAGACCACTTGAATGCGAAAAGTGGAGACAATAAGTAGTCTTTGAGTAAATAGCTGCACTAAGTTCTCTCTTGGTAAGAGAGAGAAGTGTCTCTTACCTATAGTGGCAAACTATAGGAGTGCAGTGGTAGTAATCCTGACGGTCTCCACTGACCTGTAGTTTCTGTGCTAAGTAACAGTTATATTTGCTCTAACTTGCTCCAGGGGGAGGAAGCAAGGACAAGAATTACGCAGTTACTGTTCTCTGCAAACTCTCCAAGGAGCACAGATGATCTAAATCCAGAAGGAATACCCAGTTTGCCAAGGCCTGCTGTTTTGGTTGTGTGGCTTTTTTTCATCAAAGCACTTGGTAGCAAAGAGAAGGTTCCAGTGGTACAGGGCTAATGACTGCCTGTGTCATGCACCTCTGCAGAGCCAAGAACTCAGCGACTGAGTAGACCGGGGCATTTGTTAAAACGAGATGAAATAACAGCCAACTCTTTGTAAACTGTTCCTGGAGCACTGATACCTTAAGCAACTAGCTGCTCAAAGATGTGTGTAATTTTATTAGCTGCAAGGGAGGGACAAATGTCCGCCTTTAGCATGTAAGTAAGTGGTATTGACAAGTTCTTTTTGAGTCACATGACACAACTTACATTGCTGACCTCCTTAGGAAATGTCATGGGGATGTTGCATGTACTGTACTTTCTGGCACAGAAAATGTGTGAACTGCATTATGGCAGAGTAAACTAATGAGCTTATCAGTCTGTCACAGAGAGCATGTAAATTCCTTTGCAAGCCAGGTCACACATTGGAATCAGATTTGGGGAAACTGAAGTCTCCAGCCATAAGCAGCAGCCCACAGTCAAGTCTCTAAAGCACTGATACAGTTCATGTTTTTTACTGATTTTTGGGAGATATAATGTTAACTGTCATTCCTAGAGGTTGAAACACAGGGAATGTACTAACCTTGTGTGCCTAATCGTGAAATACAGTTATTCCTTACTAATCCTGTCTCCACAAAACCCTCTTGGTTTACTCTAGCTATAAACATACCTGTAAATGGAAAGAAAGAATAGCATGTTTTTAAAAGCTTCATTTTTAAAAATAATGCACTAGGTAGAACTTCTAGGTGGCTGGATATATTGACATCTGAAGTGTTTTCTCCGATAGGTAATGTTTGAAGATGCGTTTGATGTTGCTGCTAGTTTCCTTGACAGAAGCGAGACTCAGGGAATGTCTAGCCAGAGGTAAATTGCAAACTCACCTCTTTTGCTAGACAGACTTAAGTTAATAGCCTACTGTCAATACTCCATGGCAAGTTTTCTGTGAAGTAAGGCAATAGCCTAGTTTCTCTTTTTGTGCCTGATGTTTAGTAAAAGGTTAGAATAGCATCCTCAGCAATTGTGCTCATAATAATACTGTCTCTTGAGGTGTGAAAGTAGGCATTTACGACAGAATCAGTAAGAATCACTTAAGAGCACCCCATCACTTCAGGATAACTGGGGTCCTTCTGGTTTTCTTCACCACTCTGCATAGCTTCCCATCTTCTCAAATTACAATATTTGTAATGCTTTCTTTTTCTCTCTCTCACTTACCAGGTCTAGGAGGACTGTAAGGCATTGCCTGGATAAGTCAGCTAATCATAAACTGTACTTGCATTTAATGAGACAAAAATGATAATTTTCTAACATTGCCTCCCTTACCTTTTTCAAGTACCCCAATTCAATCACAAGGAGGTGATCAAGCTAAAGTGTGGTTGACCTGAGCAGTTACATGAAAGAAATACAAGACCTATTAAATAAAAACCATCTTTTTCTTCTGCAGGTCAGATGCGTACCTAAAAGAGAACATGTCACATTCAAAACTGGCACTGCCTTTGATTTTTCTGACTAAAGAAAGAAAAGGGTGCTTTCCTGAAGAGGAAAATCACATTAAAACTCATCTTCATGTATTCTTGCTACTTAGTCTTCATTAGGATTGTTTCTTTTTGCAAATACTGTCTGTTGTTTTGTGGGTTGTTTTTTTTT